GTGAGAACCTAGTGAAAAAGCTTTGCAAATGAACAAAAACGAGGGTTTTTGCACCTATATCCGATTTTGGGGTTACAATTGAACATATATCCACTTTGCAAGTCTACCCATTTTACCATCAACTTCAAACTTATCGGGTCTGAAGTTAAAAAAAATAGTCTGAAATGAAAAAATTACACCCCAGATGCACTTAAGGCCAAATAGGTTTGAAGTGCAACCAATGGTTTCATGCACTTAAGGTCAATAAGTCTGAAGTAAAAAATTACACTTTAGATGCACATAAGGTCAAAAGGTGTGAAGTGCAACAAACGTTTTCCTACACTTAAGGTCAATAAGTCTGAAGTAAAAAATTACATTTCAGATGCACTTAAGTGTAAGGCCTCGAAAAATTTCGACAAGTAATTTAAGATTTCGTGGTGCCAAGGTGTGCTAATTATATTATTTTGTATGCAGATGAGGACTATTAATATGATGGATATCAATTAGATATAGTAATAAGTGTACGAGGTATATTATAAGTATTGTGGGGTCTAAAGAGAGGCATAAGTCTAAGTAAAATTGGAAAATTACATAATAGACTAAAATTCCAAATGAGTACGCACAAGACCAAGTTTTGGACGAGCATATCTGCATATATATAATGCACAAACTATCAAATAAAAAATCTTCGAGTCTAGTTTATAACTCTTTAAACCTTTTGTCATTTGGACACTCCTACAAAAGTTATGGCCAAATTACCACAAGCTGGCAAAATACAATTATGCTGCCAATTGTGCGACCGTAAAATAATTGTGCGAACCGCAAAAGTGGTATGCGAACCGCAAAATGGTCACAGACCTATCCAATGTAGCCCAGTTCTGGGCATCAGTTTGTGGTCCATTGTGCGACATGCATACCCATTCTACGGTCCATTGTGCGACCTGCATACCCGTTCTACGGTCCATTCTGCGACCGCATGCCTGAGTTCGGAGGATTCATTTTTCTATTTTCATAACCCGATCCCATTTTAATAAATAGGCTTTGGGGATTTATTCGGGGCAATTTTTTGGTGAATCTAGAGAGATGCGAGAGAATTTTAGAGAGAAAAGGAGGGGACCTAACATTCCAATCATCCAATCTTGCACAAATCTTCAAGAATCAAGGATCATCCATCCGGATAAGTTTTACTTCTAAGCTCTCATTCATGAAGCTATGAGTTTAAATATAGTATGGGGTTAGAAATAAGTCATACATGTGACACTAGGTTGTAGTATGTGGGATTAATGAACCATTATGAGTAAGTTTCTTGTTGAAATCCGTCGAGGGAGGAGGGGATTACCATTTTAGAGTCTAGTAGTCTATTTTGCATGTTAGGTGTTTGACAAAATTCCTAAGAGAGTTACACCATGGGAATTCTTCGAATCATTAACCCATTCTCGCTATCTTCCTATAGATTGTTAATTGCTAGAAGTGTCGGGGTGTTGTAGTAACTTAAGGAAAACTCAAACAAGGTATGTTGGCTAAACTTTCTCTCTCGGAATCGAATTCCGTAATATTTCTCTATGTTCAAATATGGGTGGCTCAAAATCCCTAATTTCTATATTCTGGGTTATCCCCTATAAACTTGACTATTTCGCATGAAACTTATGTAGAAAGATATATGTTTAAAGTATGGTTTGCGTATTAAAATGTTATGGCTTTGAGTCGTGATTCAAGTGAAATCTAGTATGCCAAATTGTGTAAGGGAGACTCGATATGCTTGAGGCTCCTAATTGCTCATATGTGTACCTAAAGTCTTGATTGAAAATGTCTTGTTGTTGATAATCTATAAAGATGTTTGAAAATAAAATAAGTGAATTGGGGGATATAGTGTATGGCCAACGTGCCAAGAATTTACGTTATAATTGTGACTAGTGGTGCCAATGAAATGAGAAAGACTATGGAATGAGCCTCGACTCAATTGTTTTTAAATGACTTCTAAATAGAAATTGCCTAAAATCTCTTGTACACAATGTATGCCCATAAATGATTATTTTTAACTAATGCATTGCCTTATAGATACATCCAATGTGATTCAAATTTTTACATACCCCAATATTGAAATTGTACATTGTCGTTGTTGGAAAAGAGTATTTCAAGAATAATTTGTGTATTGCTTGTCTATGGCTTTGATGTTGTTTTTATTGCTGTTTGGTATGCCCCATTCTTTGAGAAAAAACCTTTTGCGTTTAAAGTTTTCGTTACTAATGAACTTGAGGTATATGATTTCCGAAATATTCTTTATATTAATATTGGATGGTGATCCTTGAAAATTAAAAAAGTGAAAATGAGGAATATGAAATACTGCCACTGTGCTATGAATAATGAATCTTGTGAATGGCCAAAAGAGCCAAGGAAATATTATGGCTGTGAGAGGCTGAAAATACTAAAAAAGATTTATACAATGTGAAAGATGTCTTTCCTCGGCTAATGGAAAAAAATCCTTCTTTTACCATGTCTGGCGCCATCCATTTCCAAATAGTAAATGCACTGCTAAACTCAGATGTCCACTCGTCTGACAAGTTGGCAGCAAGCACTTCCTCCCCTTTTTGTTACCTTTGTGTTCAAATTAATATAAAAATATTTTTGGGAGTATCGATAGTCACCGAGGAAGGGTAGGTTGAAATAACCTAACCCAGAAACTACATGTGCCGGTGTAGGAGTGAGTTGTGTATATTCCCCTTATCTGGTACGAGATTGATGTGATGAAATTATTTTTCTCAATTAAGATGAGATTATTGGTAAAAGCGGATGGTGTCGAACCACACGACATTGTGGAGAGACGACCTAGCTGATCGGGCCATGATCGGATGCCATGTCGCACACATGGTGGTGATTGTGCTGGAAATTATGATATAAATCTGTGACATAAATTGTGATTGTGGTTGATGTCTTCAAATAAGGCAGCCTAGCCGATCGGGTCGTGATCAGACTCCGTGCTAGATTCACGGTGGTATATTTGCATAGAGAATATGATTGTGCTTGAGATTGTGATTGTGGTTAATTTCTCAGATGAGATGGCCTACCTAATCGGGTAGTGATCGGACTCCGTGCTAAGAGTACGATGGTATTGTGAATAGTGGCATTGTGAGCAATGGTATTGTGGATAGTGGTATCGTGAACTATGGTATTATCGGTACTAAAGATCTTCCAACTAAAAATATGTATTATTTTTGTATTTTGAAAATTGAAATGTTTCAATTGGGCATTTGGATATTATTGGTTGTGACTTGTTGTTTCTATGGTTTTCCTTTTCTTATATGGTCATTCTATTTTGAAGGAGGACTTTTAGCTTTACATACTAGTACTATTCGACGGTACTAACGTTCCTTTTGTCGGGGGCGTTGCATCTTTAAATGGATGCAAATGGTTCCATAGCAGGCAGTGTTGATCAGCGATAGCGGCACATCCTCTTTCCAGCAGACTTGGTGAGTCTCACTTCATCCCGGGGCCATGTGTTGTATCTTTTTTTCATATTATTATCAAATTTTGAGGTATAGTCGGAGCCTTGTTGCCGACACTATCATAACACTCTTTTGTATCTTTTAGAGGCTCCGTAGACACAACGTGGGTTGTACATGGATGCTAAAAATGTCAAACAAGCTATGTTGTGTTTTGATCAATTGTTCCATTCAAACCATAAGAATGTGTATAGTTTGAGACAAAAAAATGATGTGACTAATGAAAACAGTTTGATATTGTATGCATGATCACCTTATTGGTTAATTAACAATGTTATGTACTCTCTCTAAAAAAACATGGGTGAGTTTAGGTGGAAAGTGTTCAACATGCTTGCTTAACCGGGTTCACTCGGTTGAGTGCCGGTCGCACTCCCCGAGTTTGGGGCGTGACATTAAGGCCAAATAGGTCTGAAGTGTAACAAATGGTTTCATGCACTTAAGGCCAATAAGTCTAAAGTGAAAAATTGCACTTCAGATGCACTTAAGGCCAAAAGGTCTAAAAATACAACAAACGTTTTCATGTACTTAAGGCCAAATAGGTCTGAAGTGTAACAAATGGTTTCATGCACTTAAGGCCAATAAGTCTAAAGTGAAAAATTGCACTTCAGATGCACTTAAGGCCAAAAGGTCTAAAAATACAACAAACGTTTTCATGTACTTAAGGCCAAATAGGTCTTAAGTGCAAATTGCCCATAAATTGAACTTTATTCTTCGAATTTTAAGAATCCAATATACAATTTAATACTTAAACCTACTCCAAATGAGCTCACATTTGAAACATAACCTCCAAATATCATCAAGAACAAGCCTCAATCATCAATTTGTCAAAATTATAACAAATCGAACGAACCCATTTTGCAATTAAGAAAAAGAAGAAGAAGAAACCCTAAGCAACAGTAAAAAATAAAGGGCCTCAACAGCTCACCACTTTAAAATATCACAAACTACCTTAAAATATATTCACAATCACCATGTGAAATCATCGTCACTCGAAGAAGAAGAAGAAGAAGAAGAAGAAGAGGAAAAGAAGAGAAAAATGGCTGAAGTTGTTTTAAAAGTGAGTAAAAATTAATTTTTTTTAAAATAATGGATATATATTAAATGGGGCAGACTAAATAGGCCAGTGCAATTTTTACACAAAAAATACTAAAAGGTAAATGGACGAATTGAAGGAAAAAAAAAGTAAATGAAATGGAGATTCATCATGTCACGTCTTCATGTTGATAGTTCGTAGTGTTTGTAAAAGGGAGATAAATGAGAACAAAATCGAAATATTCAAACAAACATTCATATTTTAATTATTATACCTCTTTCAAAATGTTTATTTATGATACTCTAACCAATTGACTATTTATTGTTTTTTGAAATGAAATATTCCACCATTTGACATTAGGCAAAATTTTTATCTTATAATATATTTTATTCAAATTTTGGCTTTTCAATTTATATGGGGACAATTTATCCACTTCAATTTTAAAAAATTGGTCGAATAAACTCATTCAACAAACAGAAAGTGTCTAACAAAGAAGAAAAAATGAAATAAAAGTGGCTGGATCGTTGCTCTAGGCTCTCTAGCGCGGGGTTGAAGTCCAAATTAGAATTCCTTCGACCGTACCCCTATTTCCCCTTTCCTTCTCTTTCAATTCAAGTGTTGGTGTTCCTATCAAAAATCCGGATCTTGTCTTATAGAGAGTTTTCCTACTGCTCTCTCTTTTCTCCTTCGACTCCTCAGATCCAGTGCTACATTTCTTCTCTTTCATTCGGTAAGCTCACGCCGTCACTTTACATGTCTTAGCATTTTTGTTTTGCTGTGGAATTTTGCGGAGGTTTTCAAATTATTGGATAATTTACGAATTTTGTTTAACCTTTTGATGCCTGGATCTAGAGAATTTCTATTATGCTCGGATAAAGGAGGATTACTGATCGACTGTAAATTGCCAGCATTCAGTTGTTGCTAGCAATTAATTAAACTAAGTACTATTTACTGATCAAATAAAAAAGAAAAAGGAGGGCGAGTGCCCTAGGTTTACGCCAGCTTATATTAGTCCAGCCATACTGAATAACATGGAAGATACAGAGTATTGAGGATTCTTAATGCTGATTCAGCTAGAGGCATAGTTGATTGATTGATTGGTAGATCTTTTGTATATTCTTGTTGGCATTATGTGTCTTCCATTTATTTTTGCGTTTAAAGTGCTATATTTATTATAGTTGCAGGTTGCAAGGTGGTCCTAGTTGCTTAAATTATTGTAATCATTTTCTCTGCTTCCTCCATCTATGTTTGGGAGTCTTGTGGATGCTCCTGCCAACAGTCCACATCTACGGAGGTCTGGAAGCCGAGCAGTTGTATCTGATATTGGTAAGAAACATTGTCCCCTTTTCATGTCCTTTCCGATGCTTCCTCTCTGTTTTGTTTTTCCTCAATGGTTACGCCATATAGACTTTTAATAAACGTAATCATCTAGGTGTTATTGAGCTTGGAGGAAGTCCTGAAGAATCCCTTTTGCATAGTATAGAGGTCGATGAAATGAAGGGTGTGACGACACCATTGAGCAGTGCGGCCATAATGCCATCTCCTGTTCTTTTATGGAGGTTTAAGGTGTGAAATTTATGACAGTTTCAGTATATGAACATCTGATCTTTATGCTCTGTTCGGGAATTTTGAGATCAGGATCAAGCCTAAGTTTAGATCTGTATTATGGTGAAACTAATCTAGAGCTAGTTTTCTGGTTCATGTTTGATATTTGTTTGTCACAGTTTAAAGTTATTTAGGATTTAATTCAGTCCTAGTTTGAAAAATCAATATCTGGATTTGCAATTTTTTACATGAATAAGACTAAGTTTGACAAATTATTCTCCATGATGGAGCCTTTGAAAAGAAAAATGTAGTAGCAATGTATACGTAATCATATATTACTTACAACGCAGTACAACTTAGCAAAAAAATAATAGCCTCGAAAGCATCCTATTGCAATGTTATGTTCTACAAAATTGATGGTGTTAAGTTTAGTGCTCTATACACAGTACTCTCTCTGGCTCATCTTATATGACACCATTTGATTGGACCGATAAGATATTAGTTTGACTTGTATATTACATACATAATTGTTTAATCTAATTAGTTAGATGGATTCGAATATAAGACTAGTGTATTATTAGCAGAATGATTTCAAACATTTGCAAGATAAAAATGATACCACGTGTTTGAACCCTTCCGCAGACAAAAGCATGGTGTTTAAGTTGAGAAGGGTAGAGGGGTGGGTTTATTATCCACCGAGTTTCAAAACGTGTGCTAGCTAGCCCTCGGAGATTTCTTAAGTATAAAGAAATTTGGATATAAGTACAAAAAATAAAAATTCATAAAAGTAAGAGCCTGTTTGGCCGAGCTGCCAAAAACTACTTCTTTTGAAAAAGAGCTTTTGTTCAAAAGTGCGTTTTGAAAAAGTATTTTTGCAAAATAGCAGTTTGTGTTTGGCCAATTCATTTGAGTAGTGCTTTTTGCAAGCTCATTGTGCTTGGCCAATTTTTTCAAAAATTACTTTTAAGTATCAAATTACGAAAAAGGACAATAAATATTCAATTTGCAATTAGTATTATTTTAAAAAATGAATGTAAATATTTATTATAAAATAATTAATTAAAATATAAAACATAAAGTAAAAATATAAATTAAAAACTATTATCAGTATAAAATATATTTATTCCAAAGTAATAGTATTGAATTTCTAGTATTACTTATTGTTTACATGATAATTTAAATATATCGAAATACATTATTTAATATAAATTAAAAATCTACTCTTAGGAATAGGAGAAAGAGAATAAAAATATGAATGAAATAAAAAAGAGAAGAAATGTATGGTAGAAATAAAAAGGAAAAGGAAAATGTTAAATTAATGAGGAATAATTTGGAAAATATCAATTTATTGTAAGGTTATTTTTTATGTTGAACAAATAATTTTCTGCTTCTGCTTCTTGGAAGAAGTTAGAATTTGTAGCTTCTCCCCAAAAGCAGAAAAAATACTTTTGTTGCTGCTCAAAAGTACTTTTCCGTCTTGGCCAAACACCTCACATTATCCAAAAAGTACTTTTTTGACAAAAAATGTACTTTTGGCCAAACAGGCTCTAAGAAAAAGAATAGAGTGGAAACTGGGAAGCAAAATGATGCAACAAAATAGATGAAAGGAGAGATAATCCTCTTTTTAAGCCAAAACAATCAGGACAAGTTCAATCCACAAGTTCAAACCAGATTGGAGTGCTTCCCCAACACTACTTTGATCATGCTTTAGTCTTTGCTTTCTCCATAAGTTCCTTCATTTGATAGCATATTGTTTTTTGAGAATGGTAACAAATTTTATTCATCAGCACAAAGATTATGTTGGCAACAGTATTTACAAGGTACTATCCTTGTGAACTTTACAAGGCTTCCAAAAATTGTGGAATAGATTCTGCATCTCCTACAGAAAACTGTTTACACCAAAAGTGAAACTTTAAAATACAATTTGCTTTAACTACTTGTATGGAGCTACTCCTGTCTTCAAAACATCTGCTATTTCTTTCCTTCCATATGGTCCACCAGATGCAAGCTGGGATAATCCTCCACCATTTTTTCTGACTGACCATTTTACCAGCATAGTTCCAAGCTTTCAGTAGATCACATGTGTTTCCCGGCATTATCCATTTCAAATTTACCAGGGCCAAAAATAGATTCCATAGTTGGGAAGTGAAAGCACAATGGAGAAAGAGATGGCTATTGTTTTCAGATTCAGCTTTGCAGAGGAAGCATCTGGAGGTTAATTGCATACCCCTTCTCTATAGAATATCCTGAGTTAGACAAGCCCTTCTTGCTACTAGCCATGTAAAGCAGTTAACCTTGTAAGATATCTTCATCTTCCAAATTTGCTTCCAAGGCCAGTTGATGTTCTGTTGTCCATTATTGGAGAAATAAGTATATGCATCTCTTACTGTGAATACCTTACTGCCCCTACCATTCCATACCATGGTATCCTCACTATCATTGGGTCTTCTCAATCCCTCCAAAGTTAGATAGAATGCAGTCACTGTCCCCATTTCCCAATCATTTAATGCTCTCCTGAAAGTGAGATTCCATCCATGTTGGCTCCATACTTCACTGATTGTTGACTTAGGAAGAAGTGCTAACCTAAATATTTCTGGAAACCTATCTCTTAAAGGTTCATGCCCTATTCATTTATCAGACCAAAATGCTTTTTTCTACCATTCCCATGGCAGAATTCAGTATTAGCTGTAAAGTCTTCCCATAATGCTCTGATGGACTTCCAATTGCTCACCCCATAGGCTGTGTTGATAGGTTTGGTGCACCAATGACCCATTTTCCCATATTTTTAAGTTTCCACCTCTTTCCACAGGTTATTTTCTTCCCTGCCATACCTCCAAAGCCATTTACAAATTAAGCTCTTGTTCTGAATTTTTAAGTTCCTTATTCCCATGCCACCTACTATCTTACTTGAGGTTACTGTTTTCCATCTCACCAAATTATACCCTTTCTTATCTGTGTTTCCATGCCATAAAAAATTTCTCCGGATAGCATCCAACCTCTTCTCCACCTTGGCAGGAAGCGGAAATAATGACATAACATATGTAGGCAAAGCATCCAACACAGTATTTATCAAAGTGGTTCTACCACCGAGTGATAGATACTGTGTCTTCCATCTAGCCAATTTCTTTTCACATTTGTCTAGTACATCATTCCAGATCTCCATTGCTTTGTACTTGGAGCCTAGAGCTAATCCCAAATATTTTGTGGGCAGAGATCCCACCTCATTTCCAAGGATACCAGCTAGAACCTGAGTTTCTGCACCTCCATTTACTGGATATAACTTGCTCTTCTCCCAATTAATATATAACCCAGAAACAGCTTAAAAAAGGATCAATATTAATCTGATGTGCCTGACATTCTCTTTATTAGCTTCACAAAAAATTAATGTGTCATCAGCATATAGGAGATGAGTAATGGCTAAGCAGTTTGTTAATCTGCTGTTTATTTGAAAGCCCCTGATCCATCCATTTCTAGCAGCCTTCACCATCATGTTGTTTAGTCCCTCCATGGCAATAATGAACAGGAAAGGAGATAGAGGGTCTCCTTGCCTAAGTCCCCTTTGAGATGGAAAAAACCTTCAGGGCTACCATTCACTAGTATAGAGAATCTGAGACTGCTAATACAGAAGTGAATCCAGCTAATCCATTTGGAACCAAAGCCCATGTCCCTTAGGATATTTGTGAGAAATTCCAATTTACATTGTCAAAAGCTTTCTGTATGTCCAATTTGCACAGTAACCCTGGCTCATGTCCCTTCATTCTTGAGTCCACACACTCATTTGCAATTAAAGCTGCATCCATAATTTGCTTCCCTTTGATGAAGGCCATTTGATGTCTGCTTACCAACTTATCCACCACTTTCTTTAATCTTTCAGCCAAGATCTTGGAGATTATCTTATAAACACTGCTAATTAAGCTAATAGGTCTAAAGTTCTTTAGCTCTTTAGCCCCACTCTTTTTAGGAATCAAAACCACATATGTAGCATTAAAGCTTTTCTCTCTTTTTTTTTTTTATGAGATAAGTTGCTTCATTGCAAGCATCAAGAAGATGCAAAAGTTACAAGAAGGATCAATGTTAGCTCCATTACAATATAACAAAAACCTGCCCAGGAGCTAACAAAAAGAATCAAAAGTAGAAAGGGGCTAGCATTAAAGCTTTTCTCTCTTTTTTTTTTTTATGAGATAAGTTGCTTCATTGCAAGCATCAAGAAGATGCAAAAGTTACAAGAAGGATCAATGTTAGCTCCATTACAATATAACAAAAACCTGCCCAGGAGCTAACAAAAAGAATCAAAAGTAGAAAGGGGCTAGCATTAAAGCTTTTCTCAAAGTACTCCTGTGAATGAAAGTTATGGATAGCATCCATAATATCACCTTTGATCACCTCCCAACATGAATGAAAGAAACCCATGGAAAATCCATCAGGTCCAGGTGCCTTTTCTGCCTCACACATCTTAATGCATTCAAAGACCTCTTGTTCCTCAAACTTTCTTTGTAGCCATTCTTGTTCTTCCTCAGAAATACTTTGGGAGTCTTCCAAAGTAGACTGTGGTCTCCAGGCCTCTGTTTCTGAGTACAATTTCTGATAAAAGGAGATAATTTCTCCTTTAATTTCTTCAGGTTTAGTGATCTCTGCCCCATCAATAAGTAATTCATCAATGTGATTATGCCTTTTGTGAGCATTTGCCATTCTGTGGAAAAATTTAGAGTTCTTGTCTCCCTGTTTCAACCATAGTATTCTAGATCTTTGTCTCCAAGCTATCTCCTCATGCCTTGCAATTTCTTCCACTTCTACTTCGAGGTTTACTTTCTGGGCTAGTTCATCATCAGTTAGGTTTCTTTGCTCTTGTAATAAATCCAGATGGGCTATCCTCTGCAATATGTCAGTCTTCTTCCTTTCCAAGTTCCCATAATTTGCCAAATTCCATTCCTTGAGCTTTCCCTTCAGCATTTTCAGTTTAATGGCTAGAATATAATCTGGTCTGCCAGTCACTCTGAAAGACTCCCACCATTCCTTCACCTTCTCTTTGAACCCTTCTGTCTGTAGCCACCAACTTTCAAATTTGAAATAAGATTTACTGGTTCCCCATTCACCACACTGTAAACTTATAGGGTTGTGGTCTGATGCAACTCTTGGGAGTGTAGACTGCCTAATGTGTCTGAAACTCTCATCCCATTCAGTGGAGAATAGAATCCTGTCAATTCTAGATGCCTCACTCTGATTATTCCTCCTCTTCCAAGTAAAAGATCCCCCAAATAAAGGGGGGTCTACTAGTTCCAATTGTTGAATGATATCTGAAAACTCCTTCATGGCTCTAGTAAGATTGAAATTATTACTTCTTTCATTGATGAATCTAGTTGTGTTGAAATCTCCACAGACCACCCAAGGTCCTTCCCAAATTCCTCTAATAGCAGCAAGTTCCCACCATAGTAATTTTCTTTCCTTCCTGCAGTGAGGCCCATATATACCAGTGATGCACCATGTGAAACTGTTGTTCATATCAGTCAATTTACATGTGATGCTGTAACTGCCTGTGTTGACCAACTCACCCTTATGACCTCTTTTATCCCACATAATCACTATCCCTCCCCTAGTCCCACTTGCCTCTAGGAATACAAAATCTACCCATCTATTGCCCCATAGTTGACTGAAAAAGCAACTATCATCACCTTCAAGCTTTGTTTATTGTAAAACCACCACATCTGCCTTCCATTGACCTAGCAGCATTTTTACGACATCCTTCTTGACCTTTTTTTTCAAAGCAGTGAACTATGAAACTATGAACTATCCAAAGCGTGATTTTTACGATAGCATATTGTTTCTTTGAAGGAAGATAGATTATGAAATTGGACAAAGCAGTGAACTATGAAACTGTACCCACCTGAAGCTATTCTATTTCTTGAGATTAGCTATTACTTTATCTATTTTTTAATGGCTTACTTTGACATAATAATGGGGCTCATCGGTGTTCGCTCATCGGAGGCAGTATCACAGGAATATTGATCTTGAAAAATGATTGCGTGATTTTCAAGTAGGTCTCAATGAGTGATAAGTTGACTAATAAGATTTAGATATTCGTTTAAGAAAATCCAAAAAAAGGATTTGGATATTCTTGAGATTGCTTACTTCTCTTTGTTATTTCTTCAACTTTAATCATCCCTGGGGCCTCTTTTCCTGCATTTCTTGTTGTTGTTGTTGTTGCTGCTGCTGCTTTCTTTGATTTATTTTCTTATGCTTCTCTGAAGTCTGAAAGAGATGTAATGCTCTCTTATGATTCTAAGCATGCTGTTTTGTTCAGGTACTTCTGTTCCTCATTTGGGGTGTCAGTTGTTGCAAGGTTAGTATGACCAAATTTTTGGGAATGTACTTGGTTCATTGTGAACATATCCGCGTTATGTTTAACGAGTATTTCTCCTAATTTGCAGATTGGCTGGGATTCAGTCATGAGAATGAGCGTAAACCTTCGTGATCTATTCTTATACGAGGCTTTTCTTTATTACAATCCTCTTCTTCTTGTGGTTAGTGAAGATCATAATACTAGTTTATGCAAAGTCCTTTCTGCAACATTACTCTTATTTGCATTTCTTTGGTTTTGGTGCTGCAGACCATGATGGTTTGGTTTTGGGGAATAAACCTATGGGTTTTCGCGCAGGCTAATGTCAACTATGCTAAAATTTTTGATCTTGATCAGAATCATCATCTCTCTCACAGAGAGATTTGGAAGGTAACTTACACTTGTCATGAGCTTATAGTCTTGCAACTTAATGCATCCTTAACCAACTCATTTTCACCTAAATGCTTTGGTGCTGATGCATTTATTTTAAGATGGCTAAGTTAAAAAAGGAAAGAGATGGCTTAGTTCCTAATATTCTCATTAAAAACTTCCTAGGGAAACATCAACTGTCACTTAAAGTGCAATATGTAGATTTACACTACATTCTTAAGCATGGTTAACTGAGTTATTTGGTTTTACTTTTGTCTCGATATGCTAACTGTGGAACTTTGAGCATTGAGGTTTGGCTATATAAGTCTGTTTCTCGGTAAACATTTTACAGCCCTTTTAAACCTAGTGTAGTAAGATTTAAATATCAGATCAGACGTCATGTATTCCACGAAGCACCCTCTTTTTATGCGATATATTAAATATCATTTAATGAAACTTAGTACAACTTGCAGCAAAAGAAAATTTCTGATATTTCTTTCATATGAATTCACCATGTCAACCTTTTGAAAGTTGATTTTAATACCCCCTATATTAGCTTAATGGAACATTTGCCCTGCTTGAAGTTTCTGAACTTTGTTTTAAGGTTTTTTTAAGATACGTGAAATTGATGAGAGTGCTGCAATATTTTTGTCTCTTGCATATCAGATTGAAGGAAAGAAGTAAAGGGAATAACTAATCTCTGTTGCATGACATTTGCCTCCTTCATAACTCTCCATGAACTGCCTGTTAGATTTTTGTTTTCCTTGTACAAATAGAAATTTTTAAAGGTCCCTTGATAATGCAGTGTGCTACTTGGATGACGATCATTGTGCCGACAAGCATGACGGCCTATCTCTATCTCTATTCACATGGAGAAGTTTCATTGGCTGCATCTCAACCAGTGTAATAGATGCTTCCTTCCCATTTAATTGATAGCAGTTTTTGCTTTATCCAATTTAAGTCATATTCAATGTGAACTGTTGTTTTGGTTCCTGGTAAAGCTTCTGATAAATTATCGAAAGGGAAGATGACCATTTGTTCATAATAACTGTCCAAATTTGGTTCGGACTTCAAGTTCCTCAGCTTGGTCATACTGTTATACAAAATTCTCAAGTGTGACAGTTGCATTGGATCAGAAGTATTAAGGATTCAAAACTTCTTATTCTTTTAACCAGAGGATTTGGCATCAGAATTTGTATATTTCGGAACTTACTTTTTCCAGTTCAAAAAAAAGAAAAAAAGAAAAAAAGAAGAAGATGTGCCAAACCCTTCTGATTTTAGGGGCAATTATTGTAACGAAACCTCGCTGATCTTTAGTTTACTCACTCTATTGAATAGGCAGGTGCTGCAGAAGTCTTGTAAATGTGATACTTCTTATCTACTATTTTAATGAATCTTTATGTCATTGTAGGTGCTTCTATATGCTGGGTTTGCCATGGCTCTGATATTTCCATTTGATATATTCTTTTTGTCATCTCGCTACTTTTTGTTAAGGACGCTTTGGCGGATAGTTTTCCCGTTACAGGCAAGTTTGCGTTTCTATGTTACATCGAGAAATACTTTTGACTCTTAGCCGTAAAAATTGTATCATTGATCTCTCAATATCAAAATGAAAATGATATGAAGCTATATTGATTATCCTTCTCAAAAAATAAAATAAAATGAAACTCTATTAATTTTTACCTGAAAAAGTTATGCAATTCATTTATTTCTATATTTTATGGCACTTTTTTTTTTAAATTGAAACCATTGATATCAGCATGGGTGAATATTTGGTGATTACAAACTGTAATGTGCTTTGACTGGCATTTTAGTTATAATTTTGACATAATCGAGTACTTTAGTACTAGCTGATATGGGAAGAATTAGGTAGCTTCTAAATAGGATTTCATCTTCTTCAAATGCCCATCATTCCATATAGATTTGATTGGATTTGGTGGAAAGAAATATTCCCTTTCCCCTAAAGTGGATTTCTGTTTGATTTTTCATAGTATACTTACTGCGTCAGAGCATTTCTATGTTAGTTTCTTAATATTGTGAAGCATATTTTAGAGGAATAACCATTTACATTCAAATTTTTAATCATCATATAAATCATGCCTACAAAGATTCCTGAAATTAATTAAAAATATGAAATATGTCATACTAATTTAGATAGAGGGTTCCATATTATTATTTGTCTCATATTGCAATTTAATTCTTTTTGGTATCGATGCAGGCTATATCATTTGCTGACTTCTTTCTGGCTGATATATTGACTTCTATGTCAAAGGTATGCATCTTCTTCTCGCCCAAAAGAAAAGAGGACGTTAACTCATTAGCTTGTATATCCTTATCAAAATTTCACTACTTTGTATATTTGTATATACTGTGACATAGTCTAGTTCATCTTTTTCAACTAAACCATTCTGTTTCTGAAGTAGGATTATGCATCTTTTTGTTTTCTAGTACACATTTCTTTTCAATAAGTAGGTCACACATAGTTCTATCAGTTCATTACTAGCTTGGAAACTATACTTGGAAGCCGTAAATGTTTCGTCGTTTTTCTTATTTGTACTTAGCATTTGATATTGTTATTTAGCCATATTTCATGATGATACTATCAACAGGAGCTCTATAGGGCCATATTCCAAGCTGCATAGACTTATGTCAGATTTATCATCATATTAATGCATTGGTCAGGTTGTCCCATCATTGTTGCTGACTGGTAAAATTCGTAGTTGATATCCCATGAAATGCGACTTTTGCTTAGAGAATATGTTATAGCTTGGGCAGATCATGTCATGACAACAGAGAACTGAACGAAACTTAAGGTTCTGCTGGTCTAGGTTCAATTTGTTTTGACTCTCGAGTAGACCACAATAACCCCAAAAGTAAATAAAGAACCAAAGAAGATTGCTCATCTCAATGCATTGAGACTTGGTCCTTTACCCCTTCCAAAAAGCTGCCAGCTTCACTACGTTTCTGTCATCTTAGTTCGTCCTCTTTTTGCAATAATTTCCTCTCATATTAAAGTGATTCTTTATTTTCCTTGATAAAAGAAGTTCTTTCTTATCTACCGATGCCATTAACGTGGTTGATATACTGATCTGAATTTTTTCCAGAACAATTGATCCTCCTGGAACCCTCCTTGTTCTTTTGCATTGTCAGCTGAGCCAGAAGAAAAGTGTTTGACTAAGTTACCCTGTTAAATCCCAATCTGACGATCCATTTCCAGAGTGATTGCTTTCAGATTCAGTTTATCCTTTAGATGGTGAACTGTAAGCTCTTATGAGTTATCCCTGTGCTTCATTTTGGCCTTGAGCCAAAGCTGTGTGTCCAGTCAAATCAATCTCATATATACTTGTTGTTTTAATATGTTAGGCAAGTTAAAAGATTATTTATTCCATCAAACAGCCTGGTATTGATTCTTTTGCAGAACTTGCACATTTTGCGATCAAAGCCTTGTAGATGTACAATAATTCACTGGCTTCTGTCATACCTATTGCTGTAGTTTCTCGTAAAGAGTGTTATTGCATATTTTCTGTCACCTGGTGTGGCAATGCCCAACGTTTTCATACTTTTGTGCAGGTATTTTCGGATTTGGAACGTTCCGTCTGTAGAATGGTTCATCGACAGGTTTGTTCCTTTCTGTCCTATCCTTTTGGTGAGAATAAGAAAAACTGATATGATATTGCTAGCTTTTTCTTTTTATGATAATGCGAGATGCATTTAGTTGTATCTAGAAGAGCGGGTTGTCTAGTGGTCAGTGGGGAGTTGGGATTGACGATTTTAATGAAAAGAGTGTTGCATTTGGTTGTATCACTCTCTTTCAAACTATGATGTATGTTTAACATTTAACACCATCACTTGCTGTAAAATTATGTTCACCCATCACATGTCCATTCATGTATAAGTTTTGATCAGTGGACTAATATTTCAACAAAAAAAAAACAGCTTTAGATCAGTATCTGTGCAGTTTTATAGTCTAAAGTCAAGGAAAATTTTGATACACCCTGTGACCGATGTCTTCTTGTAATGTTTCAATCAATTCAAGAAATAATTGGCCCTTTTTGGGGCTCCTAAGTAATCTGGCAAATTGTTGGATTGACATCTAAGCATAGCTGATCGCTTCTTTCTGTTCCTCAGCCAAATTAGTGGTGTTTGCTTCGTTTGTAGATCTAGCTGCATTATCCTCCCTTTGCAAGGAGTTCTATATCTGGCAATAGAGCAGTTTCTCTGGGTTTGAGAAAGTAGTAGGAAAGTATTTTCTACAATAATTTTCAGTTTATACACACACTCTCTCTCTCTCTAACCGTAGGTAGTCAGGCTTTGAGATTTTTGCTGTCACTTAATATCATTTTGTTTTCTTTAGGTGAAGTTTGTGTCAGATTTTTTATTGCCTCTGTACAGATAATCTTCTAGAATGCCCCTTGCAAGTAGATTTTTGTGAAAGCTTGCTCTATTACCTGAAAGATAACTAATGACATGAACAGGTTGCTACCATTGCATGGTTTGAAGCTGATTCTGTTTGTGGAAGTCATGCTGTTGCAATTCCCATTGTTCTTGTATTGCCTTATCTATTCCGTCTCTTTCAATGTCTTCGGCAATATAAGGATACCAGAGAGAAGACTACCCTGTTGAATGGTAAATTCCTGTTTTCGCTTTTGCATTTTCATTGTTAAGGAAGCGTGAGTTGCTTTGTTGGTAAATTTTGAGTGGGTATCTTTGTTTTGGATTGGTTTTCAGTTACATTATCTATTAAAGATTATTCCTTGATGCTTGACGCTTAAGGGAACTATTCCTCTCTGAATATATAGTGCATTTTAGCTGTCTTATAACCATGGTAAATATCGAAGTGCTGATGAAGGAAATTGAGGGGTCGACTGAAGTTTTCTGGAAATTGGTGGGCCTTGAGGGTTTAAATAGTAGAAAACTTATTGTGTGATTTGATGATTAAAGCCTGAAGACTTGGAAGAAGTCTGTGCTGATTCATTGTGAATAGCAACTGTTGGGAGAATGGAGGAAAAGAGGATGATGAATAGTTCAATGTTTTTACTTACCATTCATCATCTTGGTTTTGTTCTATGCTTATATCTTTTGCTCCCTAAAAGTAAAAGGACTATGAAGTTTCCAGGAGTGTCTCACATAATTTACAATGTTCGTCTAGTTTATTGTTGATCCTAAGAAAAGTAGTAAATGTTCCAAGTTCTTCATTTTTTAAGCGTGGTTTTATACATAAGCTATCTCTCTTCAACTTGCTTTTAATTTTCCTGGTTTCAGCTTAACATTGGGTCAATGCTTAATAGTGCTAATTGTCCTTAATGTTTCATTTCAGCCTTAAAATATTCAACTGCAGTACCTGTGATATATCTCTCAGCCCTTAAGTATCACGTCTTCCCTGACAACTGGGTTAATATTTATCGGCCTTTATGGCTTCTATCCGGTGTGGTGAACTCTCTCTACTCATTCTATTGGGATCTGACAAGAGATTGGGACTTGAGGTCAGTGACATCTTTTTCATGCTAATTCTTCAGAGCTTTAGCTAATTTTTCAAACTGTATGCGGGCACTAGTGCTTTAGTTTTGCACCCAGTTATTGCTCATCCAACTCAGACTTTGATTTAGTTATTTATATTTTTCTTTGATTTTGCTGCCTTGCAACTGTTTTAACTGTCATGCTTTATATCTTAGTGTCCCAATGTTGACATTGTTCTTAACATAACAAAATTCGTCCTCTAACAATTCAAACTAGTATAACAAAATACCACACCATTTTATTGATGTGACATTTTCCATCCAACTTCTCTATCTTTCTGCATTTTAAATTACATGGTTATTACTAAGGTACCAACAAGTTAACATGTTAAACATTCTCCTACAAACTTGATATGATTGTCTATTTTTTTTTTCTTCTTTGGAGATGGTAACAGATCCAATATATTAATAAATCATCAGCACAAATTTTGTACTGGAACTAAGATTACATCAAGAAGAGCTAGGACAAAAACAAAAATTAAACTTCCTTGTTCTTCTTACAAGGAGCCTACGACTTCTATGATTGAATCCTCGTCATCTATATATTCTGCTTTACACCAAAAACTAAAAAGAAGATCTTCTGTACAGGGCTACTTATATCTTCAAAACACCTTGCATTCCTCTCCTTTCAAATTTTCCACCAAATGGCTACCGGGACAATTTTCCATCTATCCCCACCCCCAACCCCACCTGCGTTCCAGCTAGACAAAAGTTCATAGGATCTTCCTGTGCGTCATTCCAGCGACATCCGGGAAGAAAGATCTCATTGCCGTGAAATTTTCCGGCAACTTCGTCTTGTTCCCAGGGTTCATCACTGCTACAGTGCTATTGTACCACCATCAGATTCGAAACCCTCGTGCAACCAAACCCTAGAAATCAAAGTCCCAAAGGAACAGAAAAGTCAGTCATCGTGTGTCTTTCCGGTTGACGACTCAAGATTGATTTGCGTTATCTCCTTATCGGTAAGTGGTGTGCGAAAACCAACACTACCATCTTGTTCGGAAACAGTCAATTGCTCCTGCAGAAAGTACCTCACGCGCCTCCACGTGCCGCAGATAGTTATGTATAAGTAGTCCTAGTCCCATATGCAGTAGGAGTAGAATATGTCCTAGTCACATATGTAGTAGGAGTAGAATATTTCCTAGTCTCATATGTAGTAGGAGTAGAATATGTATTATATAGATGGCTCATTGTATCATTGTTAATAAATAGATTTATCTCCCGTGCATTCTCACAGTAGTTGGTTCCCAGTCTTTTAAGAATCTTCTGAATGTCAAGTTCCATCCTTCAGTGCCCCATAACTCCTTAACGGTTGCCCCCTGTTGCTGATTCGGAGTAAAAATATCAGGGAACAAATTCCTCAAACTTCCAATTCCTAGCCGATTGTCCTCCCAAAATAACGTTTTTCTTCCATCCTCACATTAAGACTTAAGTCATGATATGATTGTCTATTCAAAAATATATTACTCTTAACCTTCGGAAAATGGGATGTAGGGAGTAGTGCGTAGAGACTGGATATTGAGTTCTCATGTTTGTGGTTTGAACTATTTCGCATAGGATCTTTTGGAAATTGCTTTGTACACTCCACTTTTTTACTCAGTGTATTCTAATACTTCTAGTCGCATTAATGANCTCCTTCATGTATTCCCATAATTGTAGCCAAAAATATACCAAAAAAGGTAAATGAGTAAATAAATATTAACATCATGAAATGTATGTTTTGTTCATTGAATTCCCAAGGTTTTAAAAAAAGCATATAATTCAAAAACATAAACAATAAATAAGGGGAGAGGAAGGCTCATTAATTTTTCAAGAATTGTAAACTCTTATTTCACAAAGCATTTGAAGCAAAAATGACAAAGATACTAGAATAGAATATAAGGAGACAATGAAAATGTGGTCTCAAAGGGGATGCCCTTGTGGTTGAGGCATGAGAGTAACAACCTAGAGATCCGAATCCCAGCTACATACATCATTTTTTTTAAACTTAGCTATGTACAACACTTAATATGGAGTGCATGTGTAAAAGGTGCATGCACGAATCAAATTCCCATGTTTTTTATTTTAATCATACATTAATAATTGGGAATTCTGCCACAATACACTTCCTTTGTCCACCTGTTAATGTGCAAGAATGTCCTTTTTTATAGGTAATATGCAAGAATGTCTTTTACTAGAGGTTTCTTTCTGAGATTATTCTTGTTTAATCTGATTACTCAAAAATGCTTCTTTCTGCTAGTTGCTTCACTCGGATTTTCAAGTTCAGCAGACCGAATGCATTATCACACTTGTTATATGGGCGGAAATGGGTAAGCCTATACCTTTTGCTTATCACCACTGCTTCCGTAACTTTGTTACATTCTATAAGTTGGCAAATTTTCCAGCTTGTTTTCTAGAGCAAAATTAAGGGAGAATTCAATGATACTATTAGTGCTCCTTTTACTTTCATAATCTGGTTGAAGCTGAATTGATGTTACGTTTTTTAATATAATTTTGGCCAACATTTTAACACCCCTGCATATTCAGGGTCTTAGTTCTCTGACCTTTTGGGAACTTGCAGGTCTACTTTTGGGTGATTGGAAGCAACCTCATCCTGCGATGCACGTGGACATACAAGCTGTCTGCCCATCTCCGGCACAATTATCTCACCGTGTTTGCAATAACTGCGCTTGAGATCTTCCGTCGCTTCCAGTGGGCTTTCTTCCGTGTAGAGAACGAGTGGAATAAAACAAACTCTAAACCAAATATTCAACTCTCCACGAGTGACAAGCCAACTGATGAACAAAAATTACTCGACCCAAACGGTCACAGTGTGTAGACTATGGAACACTATCGATCCTAACAGCATTGTAGGAGGTTGATTGAGCCTTCTTTAAACCTGGCAAAAAGGTTAATGGAATTCCATTTTCCCCATTTGCACATAAGAATTTCTGTCAATAGTATAGTATAAGATAGAAGATCAAGAGACATTAAATAACATACATGATTCAACCGGCATTCCTTTTCGGAAGACTTTATCCCTGTTGTTCTTTGGTGTGATTTTTAATCATTATTTGTAAGAATACTCATTGCCAATTTTTGATGTAACATCCCTTGGAGTTGTTTCTAACTTTATGGTGTCTCGAGATTATTGTATTTTCGAATCAGCAAATCAAGCTGGAACTTATATTTTGGATTATACATGATCTTATTGAACAACTGTGATTGTTAACCTTTGCTATGAAAAGGACGTAATATCTAAGTTTTTGATAGAGACTTGTGGGAATATTTTTTAGTTGCACTTGCACTGTCAGTTTTCCTCCACATTACTCCTGTTGTGTCAGATGCTGGCATGGGTAGGGTTTTACTGTCTGAACTTTTTATGTTGTTATACATTATTGGTTATCATACTTTGTCATTTGACCCTACTTTTAGTCCAACATTTGAACTCCAGCTACATAGCAAAATGGATGCAGATTGCTTGATTGATTGAATGCCAGAGAGAAGTTAAACGACAACTAAAGTACTGTAAAAAAGGCAGCCCAGTGCACTAAGCTCCCGTTATGCGCGGGGAAGGGTTGGACCACAAAGGTATATTGTACGCAGCCTTACCATGCATTTCTGCGAGAGGTTGTTTTCACGACTCGAATTTGCTTCAAATAAGAGATGAAAGCCATTAGAGTTGTTTAGAACATCATGTGGATACAAAAAAAGCACTTAAACTTCCTTCACATGTTCAACTAGTGGTCCTAAAAATCCATCATTTCAATAACACAGACTAAAAGTGGAAAATCTAGACGAGTAAATTTTTTTCTCACCAAATATTAGGTGCTTAAGGAGAAATTGAGCAAGAAAAAATAGAATTTGCCAGTGAGGCTAATATTCTTTCTCCTTTTGTCTTTTTGCAATATTGTCTTCTCTTATCCACACTATTCACAGCCATAACATTATCCCACCAGCATATCCTGTGGTTTCAGTTTCCCACTAAACTATTAGTATTGGGTATGTAGTCTATTCATATAACGTCGTAACCCCACTTACCTGTCTTGGAGTTCTGTTCATAACTTCCAACCACATAATTTTCAATTTTTAAGCATTTAACAAAAACACATCATTTTCGTGAAAATCTTAGAATTCAAAACCAAAGTACACTTCGAACATGCATTAATTTCTCTCAAGGCTCCCACCTATGTTCATGCATGAACTCAGGTTTCCCCAAGAATTGGAGTTTCAACAATTTCCCGCCATTTTTTTGTATTTGAACTTATTGTTTAGCAGTTATCCATTTTTGTAATCTTGGTTTTCCATGGAGAGAATTTCCCTAAAGGAAAATGTTTTATTCGAATATGGTACTCAAAGATCATTTGAGAACTCATCTAGTGACATGGACATGGATTTTAACGATGTTTTCGGGGGTCCCCCGAGGCGCTTTTCAATCCAAGAAGGGAGAAAGAGGCATAGTTTCAATGACCCAATGGAGTATGAAGAAGATTCAGCAGGTTCATCGCGCAATTCGTATGAAAAGCCAGTTTTTGGGGCAGAAAATGTTAATAGAAGGCGAAATCAAGGTGAAGATTTCTATGATGATATATTTAGAGTTGATGAGTCGCCGAGGAGGAGTGATAGGGATCCCTTTGGCTCAAATCCTGGTTCCAGAGTTTTAAGCCCTGTTCGACCTTTGTCACCAAAAGTTGAAGCTTTTGGCACTTCACTCCCAGCTCAATTCAGGTACTTTGTGTACCTCTTTTCTTTTGCTTTTGAGTTAATATGTGGAAGGATTTAAGTTATATATACTGACAGTGTAACGAATTTTTATACTTTAGGTCGGGGGATGCAACTTTAAGGTATCGGATCCATATGAATCCAGTACTTTTGACAGTGTAAAAGTTCAGTAGATAAATAGTAGATATGAAGCCATAACTTAAAAAATGTAATGGATTCTATACTAAGAACCTCAGAGGTTGAATCCATAGAGCTTAAATCTTGGATCCGCCTCTGACCGGTTATAGTAGGCTATTACAATAGTTTCCGGGTTACGTTTTAGTTACATGTTGTAGGTCAACTTAACCTGATAATCTGTCAGTGCATAGAGCTTAAGCTTTATATACGATATGTTTTCTCAGTTAAATGTGCAGGCCTATAAATCCATTTATTTTTGGAGTTTGTAGTAATTTTGATGTCCCCCACTTCCTGATGGCAAATAAGGGAAAAGGACTGAATTGTTGGCAGCAGTAGCTGGCCTTTACACTGTAAAACAGGAAAGAATGTTAACAATTACTTGCTGTTGAATTAATGGCGATAATCTGTACTCCTTTTTGCGGTCCCTTTTTGGGCACAGTGGTAGTATTGTAACAATGGTGTAAGCCAATTGTGTGTCTACTAGAGTTGTTTCAATCTATATCTTTTACAGGAAGTAAATAATTTCAGTTTAGATGAACTTTACATGACAACATCAACTGATCTACTCTCTATAGCTGATAAAGGAAACGGGTCAATTCTAGTTTTTTAACGTTTGGTGGTCGTAGTAGTTGGATTTTCTAAGGAGCAAGCTGTTGTTACATTGTTGCTTCATAGATTGATTATTAGTGTTTGTTCGCTCTCCAGCCTTCCTGCCAAGTTAACGAAAGCAACAGATCTTCCCCTATTTTCTTCGGGAAGTCATAGTCAACACAAGAAGCGAGAGAAAGAGATGAAAAATGATGCTGCAACATTTTATCGACAAAGTCCATTATCACGTGAAGGTACTTCTATTGGTGATGAGTTAAGATACATGTCTGAATCTGATGAGCAAGAAATAGGAGGGAATCTGAAGACGAATGGAGAAAGCACGGAAGCTTCAACTGATGAATACCAATTTCATTTCTCCATATACAAGTGGGCAGGCAAAGGAGTTCCCGTACTTATTCCACTGAAGGGAGGGAAGCATTTCAAGTTTAAAGATAAGATTAAACTTGAAAGATGTTCTAGCTCCAATGGAAGGATAGAGAATGATGACTTGGATACCAGCTCACCTCTAGGAGAAAACCTCAACATATCCAGGGATGGGAATTCTCAGTCCTTTAGTACTACAAGTAAGATCTCCGAGAGAGGTGACAATGCAAATGGTATCGTTGGGGAAACTGTCGGCATTTTCAAGTCAAAGTCCGTTCAAAGTGTTAAAGATGACACTATATTAAGAACTGAATGGGAAACAGAAGAACCTCAATTCAGACAGAAGACAGGTTTAGGTGAGGGAATTCAGATAGAAATTCCAAAGAACTCCGAAGAAACTACAAAGGATGAGTTGAAGCCTCTTCGTGCATTTTTAGTTAATGAGGCCAAGGAAAAAGGTACTTTCTAATTTCAAACCTGGCAACTACAGACATTTGTAGTCTTTCTTACACAAAAATTGTCATTTTTGCTTTGCAGGTGACGTTAAGATGGCACAAGAAACAGAAGGGAAGAGTAACACGGTCAAAGCTACGAAAGCAGAAGCACGATCAAAGGTTAAAGTCAAGGAAAATGTGAAGAAAACTGATGATGAGGTTGATAAAAATTTGAAGAAAGGTGATGTTGAGGTCAGTGACAACAAGCAAAAAAGCGACTCACAAGCTAAGAGAAAAGGGAAGAGAGGTTTAGACAAAAAACCTATAGTAGATACAGGAGTTAACAGAGGTAGTCCACAAGCTTCTCCGTTAAGCTCAACCGAGAATTCTACTAAAGCTGGAATTAAAGGAAAGGTTCAAGACTTTGTAAAGATGTTCAACCACGAGGTTCATTCGACACCTCAAGAAGGTGAAAGCCGAAGCAAAAGCTTTAGATGGAAAGCTAGCAGCAATAGTGGAGTTGAAAGTGAAAAGAGTTTCAACATGCCAAAAGCAAATGAGAAAGTTCGGTTCCCCACCGTTAACAAGACGCAAGATGCAACTCAAAATGTAGGCACGGGGACAGTTGGTTCACCGTTGTTTCCCGGTAGTGATCTATAGAATTTTCTGATTCTATGTCTTGCTTTTTGCAGGTACACCAAAATGTTAACAAGCAGGAAAAAACAACTAAATATTCCCAAACGAAAACACCAATTCCTCAGACTAAAGATTATTCAGATCAAAAGGCTGCTCCATCAACTAATGGTTAGTTATATTATTGTTCTCAATTAAGTTTAAATCATCTTTTATTTTTCCGATTCCAATAGTTCATTCCACTGTAGCCTGCAAATGTTAAAGGAATAGCTGGTAATGGCAGCATCAACTTTTACTCATTTCTATACCATAAATCAATTCCACACTTGTGTGTTTATTGCAGAGTCAAAACGAGATGATCGAAAAGCTTCAGTTGGAAGCATGGATGATCTATTTGGTGGAAATTATGTGGTATGAATCCTTCTCTAAGTTTCTTTAATTGACTGTTTGTGAGCATTTATGATGTTTGGCATTGCAACTTTATGCTGTACCCAAAAAAGAAGAAGTAATGCAAGTATTAGAAGAGGGAAGAAATATGTTAGACGAAACAGAAACATCCTATTTTAGTATGCAACTTGTTACCAGTTTGATGTCTTAATAGGTCGGGTCATATGACTTCAGATCTTTGCAACTATAAGGGGAAGCACATTTGTGGAATTGCTCAGTTGTATATTTGTGTTACTGATGAGATAGTTTACCTTTTCGTAGGTGGAAGAATTATTTGAAGATCAGGACAATGCTTCACAAACTAATAGCAAATCTGAGGACAACCAAGTAATTTATTTCTTTTTGTCGATATCTCTGCTGAATTCAAGCATCCATAACATGATTGTAATTGTTTGCTATTATATTATAGGTTTCAGATGCTAAAATTAGGCAATGGTCACATGGGAGGAAAGGAAATATTCGCTCATTGCTCTCAACCTTACAACTTGTAAGAGTATTTCCTCTTTTACATCTTTTTTTCATGGCTTTCCTCAATATGACCTTAAAACTTAATCCAATGTTAAGGGTAAAAAAACTCAAATCCATCAGTTTCTGTTAAAGCTTTAGTTGATGATGATATTTGAATATTTCAATAATTTCTTCCTATTGTTATATTTGTGGAAAGGAATAGGATTTTTTCTCTCTAATTGTTAAAGCACAATCATTTTTAAACAGGTTTTATGGCCAGAAAGTGGATGGAAGCCTGTGGCGTTAATGGATTTAATTGAAGGAAGTGCAGTGAAGAGAGCGTACCAGAGAGCGTTACTCTATATACATCCAGATAAGCTCCAACAA